GATTAGTATTCTTGCATTTCTGTGTTTTCAGATCCCCTTTATTGCCATGTACCGCAAGGAGCTGTGTCCTAGTTTACTAAAAGATCTTGACCAAGAGGAGGATGGCAATCAGGATAAATCTGAGACACCTAAGATAAGGTGGCACAAGGTAATTGGACTGGTCATAGAACTGAAATCTTTACTTGATTTTCCTACAAACTTTATGAAGTCAGAAAAGAAGTAACTACTGCAAATAACCTTTACCACTGCAAATAACTTTTACCATACTTTGCCAGTTACTTTGGGCAATTCAGGACCTGGACAGAAAATGGCTGCTTCTCCAGAAGCGAAAGATTGCCCTTCATTTATACTATAACAACCGATTTGAAGAGGAATCTAGGCGTATATATGATGAAACAAGACTTACCTTAAATCAACAACTTTTTGAATCAATTCTTAGAGCTTTGAAGGATGCTGAATCCGAAAGAGAAGTTGATGATGTTGATGCTAAGTTTAACTTGCATTTCCCCCCTGGTGAGGCTGGTGTGGATGAAGGGCAGTACAAGAGGCCCAAGAGGAGATCACTATATAGTATCTGCTTCAAGGCTGGTCTGTGGGAGGTTGCAAGCAAGTTTGGATATAGTGCTGAGCAACTTGGTTTGAAGTTAATGTTGGTAAAGATGGTAAGTTTGCTTTGAATTGCATGTGTTATTGTGTTTAACAGTGATTTAACTTATTATCTTGCTTATGGTAAAAAAAAAAAAAAAAACTCTGATTATCTTGTTTTCTTTGCTTCTAGGGTGATGAATTGGAGGATGCTAAAGAGACACCAGAGGAGATGGCTTCAAACTTCACATGTGCAATGTTTGAAAGCCCTCAAGCAGTCCTTAAAGGGGCCAGGCACATGGTATGCTGTGTTTTTTTCTTGTGATCTAATGATATAAGTGTGGCGAGCTTGGCAATGGCTTCAAGTTCTAAGATTTGCCTACTAAAGTTTGTTTTTGTCTATGAAGGCTGCAGTTGAGATAAGTTGTGAGCCATCCATCAAGAAATATGTTCGCTCTTTGTATATGGAGAACGCTGTTGTATCGACCAGTCCTACTGCTGATGGAAATGCAGCAATAGATTCTTTTCATCAGTTTTCAGGTGTAAAATGGTTGCGTGAGAAGCCACTGAGTGAATTTGGGGATACACAATGGCTCCTTATCCAAAAGGCTGAAGAGGAGAAGCTCCTTCAGGTTCACTTTAAGCTGCCAGAAGAGCACTTGAATAAGTTGATAAATGAGTTTGATGTCTACCTCAGTGATGGTGTTAGCAAATCTGCTCAGCTGTGGAATGAGCAGAGGAAGTTGATACTGCAGGATGCACTTTTTGTTTTTCTTTTGCCCTCAATGGAGAAAGAAGCAAGATCCTTGTTGGCAAGTAGAGCCAAGAACTGGTTACTCCTGGAATATGGAAAGGCTTTGTGGAATAAAGTTTCAGTGGGGCCATATCAGAGGAAGGATAATGATATTAATTCTGATGAGGAAGCTGCACCACGTGTCATGGCCTGCTGTTGGGGCCCTGGAAAGCCAGCTACCACATTTGTGATGTTGGATTCATCTGGGGAGGTTCTTGATGTGCTTTACACTGCGTCACTTATTTTACGTTCTCAAAATGTTAATGATCAGCAACGCAAGAAAAATGACCAGCAGCGTGTTTTGAAATTCATGAGTGATCACCAACCTCATGTTGTCGTTCTTGGAGCTGTGAACCTCTCCTGCACAAAGCTGAAGGATGATATTTATGAGGTTAGCATTTTCATGTCATGCCCTTTACAATTCTTACAGAAATGGTTTTCTTGAGATGTTATGAGTTACTAAGTGGATTTGTTATCCTGGAAGTATTTGGGTTCTCATTTTGGTAGGTGAATTGACATGATGCTTTGCATACATGAGCATACAGTGTTTGGATGCTTGAAGCATTGCTTAACCTATCAACTATCATTGTTGATTCCAGCGTCCAATAATAATTTAAAATGATTATGAGTTTGTTAGGATTGTTTTTGTTTCTTTTCTTTTGTCTTGGGTTCTTTCATTTTCTGTTCCACTTATTTAGTTAAACTTGCCTTTGACCAGATCATCTTTAAGATGGTGGAGGAAAATCCTAGAGATGTTGGGCATGAGATGGATGAACTAAGTATTGTATATGGTGATGAATCTCTGCCCCGTCTATATGAAAATTCTCGGATTTCGTCAGATCAACTTCCTGGGCAGCCAGGTAAATGTACCATCCTCGACAATTGTGCTTTACATTCCCATCCTTCTGAAGTTTGTTATTCAATTAAGAATTTTTCTCATTCCTGTTTTTCCTTTTAAATTTTGGCAGGCATTGTTAAGCGGGCAGTAGCCCTTGGGCGATATCTTCAAAATCCATTGGCAATGGTTTCAACACTGTGTGGACCTGGGAAGGAGATTTTATCCTGGAAGCTTTGTCCTTTAGAGAACTTTCTAAACCCGGATGAGAAGTATGGAGTGGTTGAACAAGTTTTGGTTGATGTGACAAATCAAGTGGGCCTTGATATTAATTTGGCCATAAGTCATGAATGGTTATTTGCTCCTTTGCAATTTATTTCTGGGCTCGGTCCCAGAAAAGCAGCATTTTTGCAGAGATCCCTGGTAAGAGCAGGAGCAATTTTCATTCGGAAGGACTTTTTGCAAGCCCATGGACTTGGTAAAAAAGTGTTTCTCAATGCAGTTGGCTTTCTGCGGGTTCGCCGCAGTGGGCAGGCTGCCAGCAGCAGCCAGTTCATTGATTTGCTGGATGATACAAGAATACATCCGGAATCCTATGGTCTGGCTCAAGAGTTGGCAAAATTTGTGTTTGATCGTGATGTTGGTGATGCCAATGATGATGAAGAAGCGTTAGAGATAGCAATTGAGCATGTTAGAGATCGGCCTAATTTGCTGAAAGCCTTTGCTATTGATTTATATATTGATCAACATGTTGAAGAGGAAAAACGAGAGAATAAGAGAGAGACTTTTTATGATATAAGAAGGGAATTGGTGCAGGGTTTTCAGGATTGGCGTAAACAGTATAAAGAACCAAGTCAAGATGAGGAATTCTATATGATTTCCGGTGAATCTGAGGATACACTTGCTGAAGGCCGAATTGTGCAAGCTACTGTTCGCAGAGTGCAAGGTGGAAGGGCTATCTGTGCACTTGAATCTGGATTGACTGGAATGCTTATGAAAGAAGACTATTCTGATGATTGGAGGGATATTGTTGAGTTGTCTGATCAGTTGCATGAAGGTGACATTCTGACCTGCAAGATTAAATCAATCCAAAAGAACAGGTATCAAGTTTTCCTGGTTTGTAAAGAGAGTGAAATGAGAAACAACAGATATCAGCATGCTCGAGATGTTGATCCATACTACTATGAAGACCGAAGTGCTCTAGAGAATCAGCAAGAGAAAGCTCGCAAAGAAGAATTGGTAAAGAAGCATTTTAAGGAAAGGATGATAGTCCATCCCCGCTTCCAAAACATTACTGCTGATGAAGCCATGAAGGTAAATTTCCAGTTAAGCTTGCATTTTATATTTAGTTCAAGCTTAGTTTTATAATTGAATTCTGAACCACATCAATAGTCATTTAGTCTTAGAAAATCTTGAACTCCAATGCAGAATTTTCTTTTCCACAACTTTTATACTTCTCAGGCAAAATGGTGCTTGGTTGTCTTATGCTGTGAAAATTACTTTATTTACAGTCATCATGTATGTAGTTCACATGCATCTAAGAGTCCTAATACTAAGATATTTGGCTTTGTTATATGGTTTTAAAACTCTTCCCCTTTTTTAAATGTTTGGCAGTATTTGTCTGACAAGGAACCTGGAGAAAGCATTTTCCGGCCCAGTCTACGGGGACCTTCTTATTTGACTTTGACTCTTAAAATTCATGATGGAGTTTATGCTAACAAAGATATTGTTGAGGGTGGGAAGGAGCATAAGGATATTACCAGCCTACTTCGGATTGGAAAGACGTTAAAAATTGGGGAAGACACTTTTGAGGATCTGGATGAGGTCAGTCTTTTTATAATTGTTCTCTGAGCTACCATTGCTGCTGTATTTGTAAGAAAATATTTCACTCAGCTTGCATCTTAAGTGCTGCTGTTGGCTGACTAGCTTGTTGATGTTATACATCCTTCCTTTCTGTGCTCAGCATTAAACATTCTTTTATGATAGATTGTCAGTAGCAGCTTGCTGTTTATATCCTGCTTGTTTGGTCCTTATTAGCATGGTGTATTACTTATTCTGTGTAATCTTGCTCTATTGGCTTGTCAACTAGTGCTGCTTTTCAACATGAGTTCTTTTTTATTATATTTTATTATATTTCAGGCCTTTTGTTTTTTCTGCTTGAATATTTTTCCTTTCTATTTCTGTTTCCCTGGTTGTATTGCTTAAGTTGTTCTAAAGGAGTAATTAGGATATCAGCATGTTTGCAATGTGCAGAAATGGTTGATAGGGATGGAAATAGATATAATACCAATGGTTAATTTTGGGGGGTACACTCTGTCAGAAAAACAAATTATGGGATCGCACTGGAGAAGTGTTCTAGAAAGGAGAAGACTACTTATATGCACATCCAAATGCATACAAAAAACCTTGTCTTAAGAAAATGTATGCTCAAACACAGTTGTAAGCCATTGACTAATGAATTAATAAAGAATTCTCACTTGTATCTGTTGAGTTTTCATGATAGATTCTTATTGTTGGTGAAGCCTTATGTTTCTCTCTCTTTCAGTAGGGTGTTTCTGGATGAAAATTTAACTATTCAAACATATACATTTACTGATAGAGCTGGTTGGCCTTGGATGTTTGAATCATGTCCATAATTTGTGGAGAAAAGTGGAGGCAGCAGATAGAGTTCAAAATTGGTTCATTGTTTACTTCTTTAATATTAGAGAGGCATGAAGATGATAATTTACGTGAATCTAAATGTGGTTTGGGTTATGTTGGAAGAAACATACATGCTAACATTGACTACTTTGGGAAATGCAGGTAATGGATCGATATGTTGATCCCTTAGTGGCTCACCTGAAGGCAATGCTGAGTTATCGCAAGTTTAGAATGGGAACTAAAGCAGATGTTGATGAGCTCCTAAGGATTGAAAAATCAGAATTCCCAATGAGGATAGTTTATTGTTTTGGCATCTCTCACGAACATCCAGGCACATTCATTCTGACTTACATACGGAGTACAAATCCGCACCACGAGTATGTTGGCCTGTATCCCAAGGGATTCAAGTTCAGGAAAAGGATGTTTGAGGACATCGATCGTCTTGTTGCATATTTCCAGAGGCATATTGATGATCCCCAGCATGAGTCAGCACCATCAATCAGATCTGTTGCAGCAATGGTACCAATTCGAAGCCCTGCAAGTGGAGGCTCTTCGGGCAGTGGTTGGAGTGGTTCAACCAATGAGAGTGGGTGGAGAGCCCGATCTTTTGACAGGGATCAATCTTCTACACCAGGATCAAGGACAGGTAAAAGCATGTCAATCTGCATGATGCTCTTGCATTGCGTGTATGTTTGGATGTTATCCTGTCTCCATTGCCTTTGTATTTTAATGAGTGGGTTAAGTCAATGATACATGGGAAGTCCACTAGTCCACTTTGTAATCCAAATTGAGTCCCTGTGCTGTTGTGACCCCAGTAACCGACCATTTTAAGCCATTGCAGATGTGATAAACATCTCAGCTGTATTAAAGCATTTTAGAACTTGGATGCTGCTGTCCTGGTGTTGCTTTATGCAGTCTTCATTCAGGTTGTTCTGGTGGTTCTTTTTAACCTAACTTGTGTGGCCTGTTTGTTTGATTTGATTTTACAGGCAGGGGTGATTATAGAAGTAACGGTAACAGGGATGGACATCCAAGTGGGATACCAAGACCATATGGTGGTCGTGGTGGTGGTCGAGATTCATATAATAGCAACAGAGGAAATAACTCGACACAGGGGTCTTCTGCTTATGATACCGGTCCCAAATGGGATTCAGGTGCCAAAGTGAGCGGAGATGGTTGGGGCAATTTCCCAGGTGCTAAAGTTCAAAACTCACCCGGCAAGGAAGCTTTTCCTGGTGGTTGGGATGGTAGTGCTACCGATAACAACAATTCTGGCTGGGCGGGTTCTGCATCCAAGAGAAGTTCTGGGGGTTGGTGAAAATCATTGAAACCTCCCAATAGAGCTTTAGGGCTTAGCCAGGGGATTTAGAATCTACTCTAGCTTATGGTCAAGTGATCGATACATTTGTGTAAATATGGGGTTTTGTTAGCTTTAGGACTTAAGAGAAACTTGCCATTGGCATCCCTAATTGCATCCCCCCTGTTCTTAAGGCAGTGTTTCTAACGGGGATATAGATTCAGTTTTCTGTCTCTTCACCTTTTACGTTTAAAATTTCGATGTTTGAATCCATCTCAAATCCTTCAAATAAACCCTACTGCATTATGCAGTGTACTGATTCGATATCTTGAGAGGGTTGGATCTATCGTCTTGTTACACAAGGAAATTTAAATGTTTTTTTTTTTTTGGAGTACATTGCCGTCCCGCTGTGCTACACAAAGAAATTTAATTTTTGTATTACTTTGCTTTTGTTACACAGGGAAATTTAATATTTTTTTAATGCATTGAGTGATGTGGATGGTTAACTTTTAAGGTTATATTTTAATAAAAATTAGTAAAGCAAATGGAAGAGAAATTAGAGGGAGGGGAGGAAAAAGGAGGAGAAATAAATAATTGATGTTAAATTTGTTTAGATAAATAAAAGTATAATAGAGAATGGAATAATTTTTTTATTTAATTAAATAATTTTA